TTCACTTTCTTTAGTTCCTTTTTTCTTTTCTTCCTTCCTCTTTCTCCCTTTCTCCCCTTTTTTTCTTTCCTTTTTCCCTCCCTCCTTCCTTTCTTCCTTTCCTCTTTCCTTTTCTTCCTTCCTTTCTTTTCTCTTTCTGTCTTTCTCCCTCCCTTTCCTTCCTTCTTCCTTCCTTCCCTCTCAGTTTAAATAGTGCCTTCCTTACAACAACCCTGCTGTGTAGGTAGTGCAGGTATTACCATCTCCATTTTACAGATAAGAAAATGAGGAGGCAGTGATTTGCCAAGGTCACATGGTCCATACATAAAGTCTACTCTCCTTCGTACAACACTCCTCTGCATTCCTGCTAAGTAACCCAATAAAGCGTGTCTTTGGAAAAGGTGTCTGCCATCATCAAACATTATGAATTCTTAAATATTTTAGATAACCACCCCATGGCTGTGCCCAAAAGGCAGTTCACTCAAGTCCACTTAATCTGAGTCTGTTAACAACCTCCCTTCTGCAGTGAGAACTGGAACGCTGCTGATCTGCAGCCGTACGGGGACTCAAGAGCTACGTTCTGTACAATGCTTAACACAGTTGACGGAACACAAAATGAGTTGCATGGCGAATGAACACTGAAGGTTATTCAGGATATCAAAATGTATATAAGACTTTGAAGCACCACAGCATTAAGTCTTCCTTACTGTTAAATGCCAAAGAAATGGTATCATCCTCTATAAATATTTAACAAACGCCTCTTGAAATGCCCAAGGGAATTATTATTAGCAGGTGAGGAGGGGGTGGTGCTGGAGAGGAGAACAGGCAAGCACACATTACATTCAAGGTCATTAGGACTCCAAAAGATACAAACCTACCACAAAATCATTTCTGACAGGAGTCAAACTAACATATTCACTGCAGCATCCACAGCCATATGAGTCAAGTAAATGTCATTTTGTCCCTCGAAACATTTTCCAGGCTCTCACGCTGAACTTCAAGCAGAAAGTCAGAGGACTAGTTTGGGAAACTCGTCATGCATGCGAGCCAGTGTCGCCACCAGGTAAATAATACGTCTTATAATTACACCAAATATTTAACTTCCCGGCAAGGATAGTACTTTGGCTCTTAGAGGCAACGGCAGCCTGGGAGCACAGTGGTTAGCAAATAATAAAGACCCTGGAGAAAACCCCAGACTGCTACCCCTTTGCATCTGTATATTTATAAGCTACCATCAATAATTTAAGATAGGAAAGGGGTAGCTTGAAGCACCCTTACAAATGCCCTCTGTTGTTGGGTCAGTATTAAATTTTCTTAACATTTCTGGTCATTCGAGAAATATCTCTGCGCTTGTTTGTTTTTTTTTTTTTTTAACAAAAATATATCTTCAATTAACTAAACTACCATTTCCTTAATTGCTGTTAACCTCTTCAGAAGCCTGGATATAAAGCCACCACTGCTGTGTGATGCATCCTGCAATTCCCCCAAGACAAAATCCTACGAAACCTTTTCTCTGATGCAGGAGTTACTTAGCAACACAACCTAGCAACCTGGTAGGCAGGGATTAATCCCAGAGTGATCATCATAAAATTATATCCAAAAGACATTTTTTTTAAAAGTGTGCCATCCAAAGATACAGACAAATGATGTGCCTTCAGGGCCAGTTTTCTAAGTGCTCTGCTGTACAATTAGAAATGGCTCTCCACGAGGGAGATGGTTCCTTTATTTGTTGTTCAGATGCCCCAAAATTAAGATTATATTTCTTGTATTCAAAAGCCAGAGATAAAAAGTTAACAAGGGAATCACCATTTATGCCATATGTGCCATATCAGGAGTTTTTGGTACTGTTCCCAAAGTGGAAAACTAACTGATTAATGGCAAAAAAAAAAAAAGAAAGAAAAAGCTACCACTATATGTACAGAAAGAGAAGCGAAGGTAAGGTCTCATGGAGACAGCTCAAGCTTGGGAGAAAGGAGATTTGCTTAACACTGAAATTAATTTCACCTCAGTTTCCTCATCCGTAAAATGAAATGACCTCCTCTTATGGCTGTTCCCACTCTAAAATCCTGCAATATCCTTGATTTCTGTCCTTGAGTTGTAGTTACACAAACTTTTCCCCACATTTTCTCTGACTTCAGGGCACACGATGGCCCCGAATCTACTGCAATGTCACAGAGCAGCTAAAATAAATTAATAGGTCTCATTATTTTCATGGATTCAGATCTACTCTAATACTTCAGAAAAACACTGATTTAATCAGTGGAGTGGAGGAGGGGGAAAGGGGTGCCTTCTGCTACCAATATTAAGCCTAGCTCCTCCACAACTTAGTCTACCATTTTCATAAGTAGCTATGGCCAAAAAAAAAAAAAATCAACTTCTGGTATGAACCTTCTGGTAACAGGATGAGCCCCTCTAAACTTAGCTCAGCTGGTCCTCAGACGACAGACATTCTCTCTCTCAATGGTCCCATCCTCCAAGCCATTCCAACCTGATTAAACCTGGCAGGACTTGTGTTCTGTTGGCATTGCCTGTAAGAGCTCAAGGTCACCTTCATGGATCCATGAGGCATCGGGCATTGGAGGCCAACTGGAGTGGAGAGATTCACATGGACCCCGTGTCAAACTACATCTCCTAAAGCATAATGGCTCCATTTAGTAAAAACCTGATGTGAAAAGGCAATAAAATGTCTCTCTCTGCTGTCTTCCTTGCCCCACCCCCATCACTATTAGAGGGAAGGTTTCCTATATTTATAAATGTTTCCAAGTAAAATTAATCCAAGGTCCCTTCACAGTGTCACAATAAAATACCAGAGCCAAAGCCTCAAAGCAGTCAGGAGCAGTAAAGAGGGAGGGACCCCTATTGGAATCAGTGTCAGGAGACCTGGGCTCTTCTCCCAGCCTTGTCACTCAGTAGCTGGGTGACTCTGGGCATGTCACTTAATCACAAGTCACAAACCTTGGCCTCCTGGTCTGTTAATTGAGCAGATTAAGTGAGATGATCTCTGAAGTCCCTGAAGATTCTACTATTCTACAGCAATGATTGCTCCCTGAAGTCTTCCCAGGCCTCACCAACCTCAAACATGCCCTCTCATTCTTAGTTAAAACAGCCACCCGGGTCTAGTGAAGTGTAGAAAGCCACACTCCAGGTAGCAAAAGCAAAGCACTTTGGAAGTCATGGGATTGTTTCATGTGCTTTCTCCAACTGGCCTGACAATGTTTGCCCTAATAAAAGTCAATTAGGTCAACAACTTAACTTGTTGTACAATTTCAATAACCTCTTTCAAATATGCCAGATATCTCATAAGGCAAAAGCCCTGTGCTTGAGTCCCATTTACTAGCTGTGTGATCTGAGCCCCTGGAATATTATTACTTACACCATTTTCCTGGAATGTTTGCTAGGATCCAATAAGATAACATATGTAAAGCCCACTTTATAACCACAGCTTACTGTGTAACTATAAATGCAAGCCACTCAATAAATACATGTAGATGGATGGCTGTTGGGCTTCTAAAGGCAGAAAAGGTAGAAAACATGAAATCAGGAAAAAAAAAAGAAGAAAGATGGAAGAAAGAGGAAGGAGGAGGAGGAGAAAAAGAGGAAGAAGAAGAAGATGAAGAGGAAGAGGAGGGAAAGATGGGTTATATGGGCCTCACTTTTTAAACCCTCTTTTCCAACAAGTCCCAACAAACAACATGGTCTGAAAAGACAAATTATTAGGGGTAAGAAGACAGCAAAGAAAGCTCAGTCTCTATGGCCCACTTTGTCCATTGCCTCTCAGGTAGCAGAACCTAAGAGTCATCTAAAGTGACCTTCCCATCACTTCAGGCCATGAAGGTCCCTCAGAGGGATGGAGGTGATAACTCCTCTCTATCCTTTGCTAGCCTGACCAAACCTTCTGTTTAGTTCTGGGTATCCCACACAAGCCTCTTTTTCACACACTTGTCATGTAATGTTAGACATTATAGCTATCTGTATTGGGGTCTTATCTCCCCACTAATCTGCAAATTTCTTGAGGGAAAAGACTTTTTATCTCCCCTGGTGCCTAGAACAGTGCTCTGCATATGCTAAATCCATTTTTGTTGTAATTCCTTTGAATAAAATAACACTAAAGGTAACATTCAGGCACAAAGTACTCCTGCAACACCAATGGAAATCTGGGTAGACCTCAAAGGCATGTATGTAGTTTCTGTCTTCCATTGAGATTCCCTGAGCTATTCTCTTCAGGCCTTTACATAGCATCTTTCTTGTGAGAAAAGCAAATCGTTACACATCCAAGGAAAAATGAAATTATGACTGAGAAACAGAGCAAAGCCTCTGCCCAATGAGGTATATATTTCTCTTCCTGACTCAGGCATTTGATTCTCATTTTCCCTATTACTCATGATTTACGAGGAAAAATGGACTTCTCAATTTCAAGGTACTGACCAATTAACTCAATCAATGCTGCTGCTTCCTGCCCCCAATTCCTTTACTGAAATTAACCCAAATTTTGTTTTAATTCCATTTTCTGCATGGGAAGATGCTACCATGACTCATTAATTAATACATTAATGAAATGTCCTTCACTTCCTCCATTCCTATCCAACTACAATCTACTCTAACATGAGCTTTCTCTCCTCTGCATTCTCATACAACTTATCTGTACAATTCCTCTGCCAATTAGCTCCACGATGCCATCAGACACCTCTTCGAGGGCTGCTGGGAAGTGATGTCTAAATTTTTAAAATTATGATTCCATTGCCAAAGGACACTGGAGACTTGCATGGTAGGTTTAAGTCACCTACAGCATGTTTTCAAAGAGTGGTACAAAATATGTCATCCATTGGAGGCCTGTATGACAAGACGGGAAGGTAGCTAATCATGCATCACTTTTTCGTGTCTCCTCAACTAGACTGTAAACCCCTGGAGGGCAAGGAATGGATCTGATTCTTCTCTGTATTCCTTCTGGCACCTACAAAGTGCCTTCCCAGAGCAGATGCTCAATAAATCACTGTGGAATTAATCAGATGATTGACACCTACCTTAAATCTCTCAGAAACACCTTCTGTGATGCTGATTGTGAATTCAGCTATTTTGGGAGTACGGAATTTCCCTTTCTTTCGATCAGGCTCATACTCTGTTTTAGTTTTGACCACCACCTTAGGAAAAAAGACAACAGACAAGCAAGATATTAATAATAAGATAAAAATAGATAAATAGGTATGATGACTCTGATACACATAGTCATAATTGTAACCACGAAATGAGGTGCTCAGAATTTAATTTTCTTTAGAGCATCAGGAGAATAAGAATGCCAACATCCTCTCTGAGCAAATGCCTTGGTTTTCCCAACTGTGAAAAGTTAAAAAAAAATGGCTTCCCTCTCTCTCTCTCTCTCTCTCTCTCTCTCTCTCTCTCTCTCTTTCTCTGGCTAACTTCTTACCAAGTGGAATTGGCACAGCAGATAGAGTACTAGACCTGGAGTTGGGAAGACTTGAGTTCAAATCCATCCTTAGACACTTACTGTCAAGTCATTTAACCTCTGTCTATCTCAGTTTCCTCATCTGTAAAATGAAGATAATAAGAACAGCTACCTCCCAGGTTGCTGTGAGGATCAAATGAAATGTTATTTGTAAAATGATATATAAATGCTAGCTATTATTAAAGCCCTGGTATCTTAGATCCATAGACTTCGAGAGCTGGGAGATACCTTAAAATCATCAAGTCTCTCTACCCCTCCCACCCTTCTGTTCATGTTATACATGTAACACATCAGGAAACTAAGGCTCAGAGATGGTGAGTGACCCAGGTCACATAGCTAGTCTATGGCAAAGTCAGAGTTAGAAAGCCCAGGTCTGATTCCCAACTCCCTGTACCTTCCCCTGAAATCATACTTACTGAACTAATAGTAAAACTGTGCAAATCAAAATTATATTTTTAACACAACTATCATTGTTTCCCCCAAAATACCCTTGAAATGCTGGTGCCTGAGAGCTGCAGCAATACTGACCTGCTGTAGTCTAGCTTTTCTTACAAAGTTCTGTCTGCATTAATAAGAGAGAGAGAGAGAGAGAGAGAGGGAGGGAGGGAGTCATTTGAGTATATAGTCAATTACCCTTGAACTAATGAGGACTTTCAGAGCAAACCACAAGGGCTCACAAGAATTAGCAAAGCACAATATGTCTATCTATACTCACACCAAGGGACTGCCTTCCCCTCCTTCTTTCCCATCCACCAATATAAACATTCACTTTAACTCTAGTATTGCCCATTCAGCAGAGGCTCCAGGTGATGGAAGCATGCTATTCCCACAGATGATAACAGGACAGTCCAAGGACAAGGAGTGAATCTCTTGGCAGAGACATCCCTGGGGTACCAGAAAATCAGGTGATCCTCCTGGGCTCTGCCCTTTGCCAGTACACTCCATCATTCCCACCCCCATCAGGTGACTCAAGGAGCTAGGTCTGAAAAAAGCAGAGAAGGAAGGAAAATGAGAAAGCTCCTTAGCTGGCAGAAAAGAAAAAAAAATCAAAAGCTTGACACTCAAATACACACAATTCGCCCATAAACTGTCTCCCAGCTCCAAGGCCAATCTGGTAGGACACTCAAGTCTCACCTCCTAATCATTGAGCCACTCTCCTATGACTTATTTTTCCTTGTATAAATTTTCCCCTGGATGTTCCTTTTAACCTGACCTCTCCTAGATGAAAATAGCTGGGCCCCAAATCCTCAAGGACTAGCCAAGGCCACCCACAAGAATATCCAACCTCTTGGGTGTCGCCATGGTACTCCAATGTCACAATCTTAACATAGAAAAAGCTACACTGCCCGAGGCCAGGAAAAAGGTAATTATTGCTTCTAGGCAAAGCAGCAGTGGGAATGGAAAGGAAGAAGCAGATGGAAAAGACACTCCATCTCGGGACATAATGGGGACACTTGACCACCAACTGGATTGGGGATAGGAGGAGGAGAGGTAAGTGGAAGATGGCACCATTAGGAGCTGGGAGGGGGAGAGAAATGATAAGCATCACTTCTTGGGAATCCCAATGTTTTTCCTGTTGGCACAACCTAATCTTGTTCTAAACAGCTTTGGGGTTGAAATAAATCAACAGGACTGAAACCTCAAGATATTTTAAGGAGAAAAGTCTTCAGAGAGGCTCGTCTGGCTCAGCCCAAGGCGAGGAAGATGCTGAGATGAATCACCTGATAAAAATCGGCCTGCCTCAGGTTGGATTGTTCCTCCTTTGGTTCTGAGCGTCACAGCTGAGAAATGAAGAGGAATTAAGGCAATCTCAGTTCAGCCCCACAGGCAAGGGGAGCTGCTCATTGTTTAAGTCTGGCACCTGGTCACCAGATGGCAGGCACCTGAGCACCTAGAAAGGCGAACAGCTGTCTGAAGAAAGGCCCTGCTATTCTCTGAAAACCTAAGGAAGTCCCAGAGAGGTCCTGTTTCTCACTGCACAGTGCAGCAAAAGCATCCCAATTTTGGAATCAGAAGCCTTGGTTTCAAATCCAACCTCTGACACTTACAACCTGTCTGATCTTGGGCAAATTACCTAACCTCTCCAGACCTCAGTTTCTTCATCTGTAAAATTCAGAGGTTGGACCAGATGCTCCCCGAATTCTTTTCAGATCTAAATCTATGATTCTTTGATCATAAGTCTTTACAGGGCACATGTTCTTTCTGAGATCCCAGGTATCTTAGATAGAACATGTCAAAGAAATCATTGTGAAAAATACTTAATGATTGCTTACATAGCCAGCAATCCATCTTTATTTTCAACATACTAGTTAGTAAGCACCTACTATGGGCAAGTCCCTGTAATGGGCACTAAGTATACAAAAATAGACGCATACAGCCCAAGCTCTCAGAGCGATGCATAGTTCTGGCTCAGGAGACAGGAGATCTGGGTTCAAATCCTGACTCTACCATTTGCTACCTATGCAATGTTTGGGAAATCCCTTAATATCTCTGAACTTCAGTTTCCTCATCTCTAAAGTTGAAGAGTTGAAATTACTAGACAATCTCAAGTCTCTGTTTTGTTTTGTTTCCTCTTTCTTGCGGTTCCTCCTATTGGTTCTAATTCTTCTTTACAATATGACTAATGTGAAAATATGCTTAACAGGAATATATATGCATAGCCTATATCAGATTTCGCTCTGTCTTGGGGAGGGAGGTGGGGAGGGAGGGGGAGAAAAATTTAAAACTCAAAAGCTTATGGAAGTGATTGTTGATAAATCAAAATAAATTAATAAAAATTTAAAAAATATATATGATGCTATAATCTATCAAAGGTGTGGGGGCAAGGTGGGGTGGTAGGGGGAAGGGGAGAACACATACACCAGAAGTGTCAAACATGGGATCCACAGGCTCTGAGGCCTGCCCCACTTCTGAGTGCAACGTGAACCAGATTAAAATGTAATTGGCAGTATATAGAGCACCGGGCCCTGGAGTCAGGAGGACCTGAGTTCAAATCCAGTCTCAGACCAGGCACTTGATACTAGCTGTGTGACCCTGGGCAAGTCACTTAATTCCAATTGTCTCATTAAAAAAAAAAGAATTCTAAAATGTAACTGGGAAATATTTAACAAAATAAATAAAGACAAGGTAATGTCAAAACATGTTTTTCTAAGTCAATATGCTCCCAAAGGGATCCTTATGTCCAGTTTAGTGGCCCCATTTTCTATCTGATTTTGATACCACTGATATATACAATTACCAGGGAGAGTGAGTTAAGAGTACCAGAGAGGGCAGAGCAAAGCACTGTGGGAAATTTGAAGAAGTAGCTGAATATTCTAATTGCTGACAGTTTTCTCCCAAAGGGATTCAAAATACTGAAGGGTCAGTCTTGGGGAGAAAAATATCAAAGCTGTTCTAGAGTTCATTCATTTTTGAGAAAGTATGTTATGTTTTCTCAAGGGATAGGCCCAGTGTTACTATTATGAGTGGAATGTAACCTCTGACCAAGAAAAGAAGAATTCACACATACTTCTCTTGCCCTCCACATCCCTCTCATTAAATATACATTACTGATGGGTAAATTCCTGAATCAGACAATGTAGAAGAATACAGAGATCCCCAGCCTCAGAGACAAGAGCCTGGGTGCCAGTCAAGGCTCCCCCACTTATTAGCTACAATTGGGTAAATCATGTCGTCTCTTCGGGCCTCTGTATCAGTTTCTTATCAACAAAATGAGGGAATTAGACACGTGACCTTTAAGATCCTTTCAATTCCAAAATTCCTTAACTTTTTTTTTTTAATGTGACCTACTGGGGGTCAGGCATCCATAGAATTTCACAACAGGAAAAGAGCTTACAGATCATGTAAGCCAACCTAGAAAATGAGCGTAATAAATACCCTGCCTACCACAAAGGTTTGCTGTGACCAAAGTGACATATAAACTATAAACTGTTACATTTAAAATGGGCTGCAGTCATCCCTTGCATAATACAACGCAAACCCATGTCATTTTACAAAAGCATCATTAACCCATGACAGGCATTCCCTACCTAATGTCAATAATTGGTTCCATTAGAGCCCAGCGTTAGGTGCCACGAGCAGGGTGATCAGTTCCAAAGGAACAATATTATAAACCATTGAGGGAATGGCAGGGAGGCAGGGCTTCAAGACCTTAGTGTTAGGTTTGTTTAGCGAATTAATGACTGTTTTGTGAAGAGACTTAGGTTGGGGTAGTAGCCCCCCACTGAATTAAAACTCCAGGTAACATCTGGAGACCTTGCTTTAGCATCACATAGATGGTCCCACCTGAGCCACGAGCCACAGGAGAAGAACCACTATTTCGGTGAATCTACTTCTATAACATTGCTCAATCTCATTTCAGGTTTTCTTTGAAGCACTTCTCCAGGTCAGGGGCCACATTCCTGGATTTTTATTATTATGCATTCTACAACCCGGCCATAGGCTGGATCTTCTTCACAATGTACAGATCAAACAGCCCCCTGCATAGCACCTGAATTTGCTGAATTGGCTGGGTCTATGTATAAGGGGTAAAAGACACAATAATGACAACAAGAACAGCTCACATTCATACAGCGCTTTAAGATTTGCAAAGCATTTTGAATAAATTATCTCACTGAGTGTTAGAGAGCTTAAGTACTTTGCCCAGGTTCATAATACTAATAGGAATCTGATGGAGGACTGGAAGCCGGGTCTTTCAGGCTTCAAGCTGAGGACTGTATCATCCACTTTATCTCCAATTAGATTGTGAGTTCCCCCAGCAGGCTGTAAACTCCTTGAAGGCAGGGGTTGGTTTTTTGCATTTTTTTACATCCCCAGCTCTTAGCATAGTGACTGGCATCCAGTAGGTGCTTAATAAATGCTTGCTGACTGACTGACTGACACTATACCACAATGCCTCTCATTGTAAAAGTACTTTGGGAAAAAAATTATAAAACAGTTATGCAAAGATATACTATTATTGTCATAGAATCTGTTCAAACTTATTTAGGTAATTCAAACAAAGAAATAAGCTAAAAAGAAAAAGAAGGTTCTAATTTTGTTCTAAATTATCTACAAGGGAAGGGGTATTTGTATGTACTTGGCACAGTCAGTTCATTCTATATAAAAACCAGAATCAATGTAAGAACAATGAGAATCCACCGAGTAGGCTGAGGTCCCTTGGCCCTGGGCCCTGCACCAGCAGAGATCAGTCATATCCTATCACTTATGTCTGAGTCTTACTCTCTTCAGCTGTAAAATGGGGATTCGATTCAATTCAATTCAACAAGTATTTACGAAACCTTTACTATGCACCAGGCATTGTGCCTGATGCTGGGGATATAAATGCAAAAACAGTCCCTGCCCTCAAGGAGCTTCCATTCTACTAGGGTAGAACAACATGTACTAGGACAAGTCAACACAAAATATATAGAGTCAATAAAAATAATTCTTATGGAGGAGAGGCTCAAGATAGGCCTCATTTAAGAGGTAGCACCTGAGCTGAGCCTTAAATGGAACGATTGATTCCAATAGGAGGTGAAAGAAATAAGATCATTCCAATCTTGCTATCCAGAGAGGGGTCATAAAATGTCAATATGGGAAACAACAGTTGGCCAGGGTGGCTGGAACAGAGATCGTATGGGGAAGAGTACTGGGAAATCAGTCCAAAAAGATGGGCTGAAGTCAAAGTGTCAGAGGCCTTAAATGCCAAACATAGGAGATTTTAGTTTATCCTAGAGACGATAAGGAACCACTGAAGGTTCTTGAACAGGGCAGCAATATGGTTGGTCCAACTGATGTTTTAGGAAAATTGTTTGGGTAGGTGCTGGGAGGACAGCTCAGGAAAGAGGAAAGCCATGAATCTGGGGAGACCCAACTAGTATAGATTGTTCAGAAATGGAGTGATGAAGACTTTTCTTTGTGTACTGGCTGGCTGTGTGAGCAGAGAAAAAGGGATGGATGGATGTGAGAGATATTGTGGAAATAAAATCAACAAGACTTTACAACTAATTGGATACCATGAGGGGAGGGGGATGAAAGAGGGAGGCTGAGAATCCAAGTGACTGGAAAGATGGTGGTGCCTTCAAAAGGAATAGGAAATTAGGAAGAAGGGTAACTTTGGGGAGGAGGGGATAATGTTTGGTTTTGGATGTACTGACTTGGATATCCGGGTACAACTCATGAGATCACAGATTTAGATCTGGAAAAGATCTTAGATCCCCATTAGACCAAGCCTCTCATTTTATCAGCAAGGAATCACTTTGCAGGTTGTGGGCAGGGAGGGCTTCTAATGCCCAGAAAGATTAAGGGATTTGCCCAAGGTCAGGAAGGTGATGAGTAGGAGAGTCAGAATTAAAACTCAAGTCCCCTGACTCAAAACCCTGTCCTGTCTGCTCTCCATCCCACTGCCTCCTCCTCTACTAGGCAGCTGGTGTTGAATGATGAAGGCTTGGATCTCCAAAAAGATGAGAGTTCAATATTAATCATACCTCACAAGGTTATAAAGAAAGCACTTTCTAAACAATAAAGTGCTATATAAATGTGAGTTTTTGGTGTCATTATTATAAGAGTAAGCATCTCTGGAACCCTTGAAACCTTGACTGTAGTCAGAACCACAACACAAAGGGGAGCTCTCCCATATAATCTCGGAATGGGGACCCAGCTAAAGGGTCAAACTAAATTCCTTTTGGCCATTACTCTGGCCTCACAGATAAAAATAACTGTAAAATTTCTTTGCTAGAAATAGCTAACATTTCTTTTGCACCTTAAGGTGGGAAATTCTGTGAACAAAGCAGTACAAGAATCATTATGCCCAGCTTACCATCGAAGAAACTCAAGATCATATGTGACTTGCTCATGGTCACATATCTAATAAGTGTGGGTTCTGGGAATCTAACCCAGGCCTCCTGTTTATTAATACAACATTATGGTGTAATACTAATTATAGCCCCTCCTATTTCTGTAAGCAATTTAAGGTTTGCAGAATAAAAGGCAGATGTAAGGTTTGCAGAATAAAAGGCAAACATATCTACTTTGTCGGGTAGATATGATGCTCTGCATTTTTACATTCTAAAAATTAGCTGAATAATTATGACAGTATTAAGGAGAGAAGGTGTGGCAAGAAAGCCAAAGAATTCAATCTCTTTGTATCCCTTACAATGAATGGGGTTACTATTGGCGACACTTCGATTTCCTTCTGAACAGGAAAGAGTTCTATTTCCACAAGACCTCTCTGGCTGGCGTCCCTGGCTTTTCCCAGCCCACAGCTCATTCTTTTGTTACAGCTTTGTGCCTGGGCTTTGGGTGTGTGAGCCTGGGGAGGGGGTGCATTGGAGAATGTGAACGTACCTTATCTGGAGGAGGGAACTGCAGCTGATTGACATCCAAGGGTGTCATCAGGGGGATGGTGTCGAAGCCATCCTCCAACAGGGGCTGTTTTGTGCCTTTCTCAGCGAAATTATTCCCCAGTTTCACCATCCTTCTGAGAGAAAGGCAGTACCTGCGGAACCAAAGGGGACAGCGCGCATCACTGCAAACCTGGGCCAGGCGCACTTCACAAAAAGACTCCCCCGGTTTTGGTGACACGTATAACAAAAGATGTGACCTACTGATCTATATGCCCTAAAAAAGTCTGCTCTGGCACCCGGGCAGCTTCTCTGCAAACCAGGCCACAAAGGCTGCCCTGCCAAACACTCACGAGGTGAATGTAACCACCCTGGCAGAAAGCTGAGCTAAAGCGGGTGAGGGGTTGAGGGAGACCAGGCAAGAAACTGTCACTGCTGGATGGTTAAGGTGAGGTTGGGGAGGCAGGGGGACATTTGCCCCCATTCGCCTTCACCTTCCACAAGGGTGAGGTCGGGTCTCGGTATCTGCGTCCTGCTCCACAAAACCCACGAAAGGTTGGAGAGCTGCGTTTTGCCCCAAATCCCTCTCCATTCTCCTCCCCAAACCCTCTCTGCCCATTTCGTTTTCTAGATCTGTCCATTCGATCTCTCAGTCCTGCTCCCTCTTCACGCACCCACCCTTAGGAGCTTGATCTCTGCAGTAGTCAACCCTCTGGTTCCGATGTTAGGGGGTTCAGGGAGCATAGAAAAGCTCCAGCGTCCCGTCCTTTCCCGAACCCCCATCCCTGCTGCGCCCCAAACCATTGCTTAGGAAAGGACGCCCCCACATACCTTTTCTGCACCCCTCCCAACCTCAACCCCACCCTGTCCTCTCCTTCCCAAGAAAAGCCCTAAAAGTCCCTTCAGTGTTGGAGGGGGGTGGGATTTGAACTTACCCCCCGAGGATCTAGCGTGGCTTCTCCAAGCTTTGGGCTCCAAGCTCACACACACGCAGCAATGGCGGAGGAGGAGCTGGGCGCTGAACTTGGGGAGGGCTGGTGGATATCGCTAGAGCAGATTCCTTTTGTTGGTGTTTTTCTCTCCTTCTTTCCCCTTCCCGAGCTAATTCAGTAACAGTGCATAAGGATATGTCAGCGTCCAGAGCAGCAGCAGCAGCAGCAGCAGCAGCAGCACCGCTACTCCGCCTTGACGCAGCCTCAGTCCTCAGGGCGCAGACCCGGAGGAGGCAGGAGGAGCGAGAGCAGCACAAAGGAGACCCGGGCGGGGAGGGGGTGGGGTGGTGAAAGGGAGGGGAGCTGCGGAGAAGCTGGGGGGGGGG